TGCTCTTTCCAGGAACAGCAAGAACGTGCCTCCCCAGCCCAGACAGGCGTCAGGCAGTGACACAAACCCCAGCTGCTTGTCTCTGTCACCCTCTGCCACCTGTTGTCCCCAGACCCAGGCCAGGTGCCACACAGGGGTCCCGAGAGCAGTTCTTTGTGGCCTAGGGGATCTCTCACCTGCTCCTTGCTCATGTCCTCCAGGTCCAAGGCATCCACCACCGCCGGACCCTTCCCTTTAGTCGATCCTTTCTTTTTGGGTGCCTGAGGACAGGAAGCCAAATGCAGGAGGTGAATGGGTGAGCAGGAAGCCGTGCTACTCCGGTCCACCGTGCCGGCCCCGGAGCATCCCTGCTCTCACGGCAGGGACGGGGCCAGAGCGGTGTCACGGAGCCGGGAGCCCCGGAAGGAGCCTGGAAGCCTCCAGGACCTCCCGGAACCCCCGTGGTTCATGTGTCACCGCTGCCGGCTCAGGTCCACAAAACGCCTGTACCCAAAGTACAGCTCAGGAGCGTCACCGCAGCGCTGGGAACGGCGTCGAGGGGCTCCCTACCCTCCCCGTGAGCGGAGCGGGCCGGGGCCCCCAGCCCTCGGGGCTCAGGCCATGCCCGACCGGGCCCCACTGCTCTCCCTTGTCCGCATCCCCAGCTCCAGGGGACCCTTCAGCAGCTGCCCTCGTTCCTCCCCCCGGCCACAGCCCGGCCCCGCTCTCACCATGGCGGCGGCCGCCGGCGCCGCGGTCTCCCGGCAACGATCGGAAAGATCTCGCGAGAGGAAAGTGAAATCTCGCGGGAGGTGCTCTGCGGGATACGCCCCCTAGCAACGCCACGCTCCGCCCTGGCAACGGGGGCGGGGCCGGCGGGGGATCCAGGGCGGGATCGAGGGGACGCCGGGGACACCGGGGGAAAGCGAGGGAGTTCGGGGAGATCAGGAGGACCGGGCGGATCGGGGGGGTCCCGCTGTGCTCGGCACAGCCCCTTCCATCCCTGCGCCCACCTCCGCGCCCCGGGCTGCCCCCGCGGCTGGGGTCCCCCGGATCCTCTCCCGCATCCCCGGGATTCCCGCGGCACCCCTGGTCCCCTGTGCCCCCCCGTTCTCCCCGGTCCCTCCCGCGCCCTCCCCCGTCCCCCTCGTGCCTCCCACCCATCCCGGTGTCCCCGCCCATCCCGGTATCCCCGCCCCCGCCGCGGCGGACAGGACCGTGCGGGCTGCGGGCTGGCACCGGGCCCGCCCTGCCCAGCACCGGCACCGGACCCAGACCCGGACCCGGCCCATGGCGGCTCCGGCAGCGGCCGCCACCGCAGGTGAGGGCGCGGGCCCTGGAGAGCAGCACGAACCGGAGCTCCCATCACCGTGGAACCGGGCCGGGCCCCGCGGGGAGCGCGGGGGGGGGCACAAGGAGATGTAGGGCAGGAGTGCAAGAGGGAGAGTGCAAGGGGAGGGGGTGCCGGGGGGGTGCATTGGGGGGGCATAGGGGAGCGTGGGGCCGTGCTGCGGGTGCCCGGCTGCAGGGGTGGGGGGCTGGGTGGGACACGAGGGGTCTGTGCATGAAGAGTCTGGAATGGGAAGGGGGGAGCAGAGGGGTACTCAGAATACAGGGTGCTGTCCAGGGGGTCTGAGGGAGCACTGGACCACCCTGGGGACATGGGAGGCACTAGGATGCTTACAGGATGTGAGGGTGCAGTGGGGTGCCCGTGGGTACAGTGGGGTACCCAGGAGGTGTGGTAGAGTGTCTAGAAGGTCAGACGGAGTAGTGGGGTGCACTGGGGACCTGGGGTTGCAATGGAGTGCCCAGGTAACGTGGGGGGACAGTGGGATGCCAAGGGTGTAGAGGAGCAGTGGGGAACCCAGGGGGTGTGGGGGTGCAGTGGGTTGCTCACAGGACTTGGGGGTGCACTAGAGTGCTCCAGGACATGGGGGAACAGTGGGGTACCCAGGGGACATGGGCAGCAGTGCGGTGCCTGCCAGACACCCTGCATAGCTGTGCCAGTGCCTATGTGCAGAGGTGCTTGGGGACAGGGAGGTGGCCGTGCTGGTGGAGCTGTGGGAGCCTCGGTGTTTTAGGGGAGGCTGCACCTGGTGACAGAGGCGGTGCCAGGGCTCCCCTGCACGCCTGTCCCTCCCGCCTGTGCCCTGCACATGGCTGTGCCGTGGCATGGGGCAGCCCCGGCCGTGGCACCGGGGGTACCAGGCCCTTGGGGGAACAGTGCCACTGGAATGTGCTGCGGGTTCTGTGGGGTGCCCAGTGCCATGGGGTGCTAGTACCGGTGGCTGCCCGGCTCTGCGGTTGCCGTGAGTCAGCACACGGCGTGCGGGAGAGATCCCTGATCTGGCCTCGCTCCTGCCAGGCAGCCGGTGAGCCCAGGCTGGAGTGGGTGCTGTGGACGGTGGCACGGCGGGACTATGCAGGCAGAGGCCAGAGGGGAATTCTGCGGCCGGGACCAGCGCCCTGGTGGGTGGGGGCGTAGTGGGGATCGGGGGAGCTGGGCACCGCGTGGGCTGGGGTGGTGGGAGCAGGCAGGAGCGGGCAGCCCCTGTGTGCCCCTTGGAGGCAGTCTTCCCAGCCCTGGGGCGGGGAGGGGACCCGGTTTCCCAGCTGGAGACAAGGTGCTAGCAGTGTGGGGTGTGCAGTCTCACCCTGGGGGTCACAATGTGGCAGAGCTGGTGTCAGAGCAGGGGTCTGTTGTCCTGCCAGTCTCCCGCAGCTCCATATGCCAGGAACAGGAACCCAACACCCCATAACATCCCTTTTCTCATCGGGTTGGGGGGCTCTGTCCCTGCCCCACTGTTAGAATCCTGGGGAGAGGCAATGCCTGTCCCTGTGCCATGTCACCCTGCAGCATGACCGGTGGTAGCATGGCCCAGTGGTGGCACATGGTGCCAGGGCACCAGCACTGACCTCGGAGGGTCGGGGGACAGGGGATGGGGTAGTGTGCCCCTGGTGCTGCCCTGAGCACACAGGCTCCTCCTGCCTTCCTGAGTATCCACTCAGTCCCGAGGCACAACTGTGCCACCACCTTGTGCCACAACCAAGGGCTGTGCTACCACTGTGTGCCGTGACCCTGTGCCATGACCGTGTGCCATGGCCACAGCCGCCTTGTCCCCACCGGCTCTTCCTGGGGATGATCCCAGCACAATCCACCCTTGTCGGGCCCCGGCACAGGCCGCCCTTTGTCTCGCCGACACAAAGGGGCTGCACGAGGAAGGGGCGTGGGGCGGGGAATGGGGGCTACCAGCTGCCGGCACGAGAGTCCTGGGAAGCTCTGCCTGTCCCCCCAGCCCTCCCGGAGGTCCCACTCCCCCTGGCCCCTCAGCCAGGCACTCCACGGGGGCCCCCGAGGGAGCTGCCGTCACGTCACCAACATGGCAGGTGCTGGTGTGGCAGAGCTCAGCAAGGAGACATTGGCCGTGGAGCGCCCGGCGGGGACCCCCACCCATGGGCCAGCCCAGGAGACCCCTCGAGTTCCCCCAGAAGAGCAGGGTGGCATCCCTATCCCCAGTGCTGGGCTGCTGCAGGTCACCGAGCGTCGACGTGAGTGTGGCCCCGTGTGGGGTCCCTGCTTGTCCCCAGAGCTAATGCTATCCCTGACACCTCCTGCCAGTCCCTGGGGTCCCTGAGGTCCCTGGGGTCTCTGCCTGCCCCTGGTTCCCTGCCTGTCCACAGCACTCCCTGCCTGCTCCCGAGGTCTCCTGCCTGTCTCTGGCATCCTTTGCCAGCCCCTGGGCTCTCCTGCCTGCCCCTCAGGTCCCCTGCCTGTCTCTGTGGTCTCTGCCAGTCCCTGGGGTCCCCTGCCAACCCCCAGCCAGTCGTGGCTCCCACCAAGCCCCTCACCCCCCCAGCTCCCTGGGCCCCTGAGCACCAGACCCCCGACCCCTTCATCCCCCGCCCACCCATTGGGCGATAGTGGTGGGTCTTCAGCCCCTCCCGGTGCCTGCAGAGCCTCTGAGCAGCGTGTCCTCGCTGGAGGTGCACTTCGACCTGCTGGACCTGACAGAGCTGACGGACATGTCGGACCAGGAGCTGGCCGAGGTCTTCGCCGACTCCGACGAGGAGAACGCGGCCGGAGAGACTCCCGGCGGTGAGCGGGGGGCCCGGGGCCGCCGGTCCCGCTCTGTTCGCCGGTGCCGGCCCGTCCCTGACCGCCCGCCTGCCCCGTCCGTCCCGCAGGGCTGCAGCCGCCGCCGATGCCGCGGGCCGGGTACCTGCGCTCGCCCTCCTGGACCCGCGCGCGGGAGCAGGGCCGGGACAAGAAGCACCTGAGTGACCCCGAGCTGCCGCCGGGACCCCCGGACGCCTTCCTGCCCGCCGAGCGCCCGCGGGAGCCGTAGGGACAGGACCTCCCGGGGGACACCGGGACACACCGGTGCTGCTCCCGTCGGTACCGATGGAGCCCGTCCCCGGGCGCAGGACTTCCCTTAGCCCGCCCGGAGGGCAGAGGCGACCCCAGCCCCGCAGCGGGAGGCACTGGGGCCGCCCACAGCCGGTGACCCGCGGCTTCGGGGGGAACCGGTCCGGCCCCGCCGAGCCTCGGGGACGGCACGGCTCCGGTTGCCGAGAGCGGCGGGTGAGGCAGGACGGGACGGGTCGAGCGGCCCAGCCTGGCCCGGCGGAGCGCGGCCGGTGCCGGTGCCCGCCCGGTTCTGATGTAGCAGCGCTGTGATCCGGTAAAACCGACCGACCGACACACCGCCGGCCTCTGCCCGTCTGCGCCGCCACTGGGGGGCAAACGGGAGGGGTTGGGGTCACGGGAGACACCGAGAGGGAAGGGGGTCGGCCGGTACCGAGGCAGCGCGGCCGCAGCCCCTCCTGGTGAGCGACAGACCGGCGGAGACCGCGGCACACCCCTGACAACGCCACACAACGCAACTCCACCCCACCGGGCGGCGCTGGACCAGGGACTGGCCCGGTGCGGGGTCGGTCCCGGTGTTCGCCCCGCCCCGCGGGAGCCTCAGCCCCCCCGCTGCCCCCCGCCGCCGGTCCGAAGCAGGAACACGAATGCTGGGTTGCGCAAAGAGGCTCGTTAATGCTACAGGAAACATTGGGAAGGAAGTGGGGGACACTGGCCCCGCGCCGCGGCCGGTCCCCCCTCTCCCCCTCCTCGGGGCTCGGCCCCGTTAACGGGTGCTGGGGGGAGATTGGATCCTGGTAGTGTGTGTGTGTGGGCTCGGTCCGGCCGCGGGGCTGAGCCCTCCTGGCAGTACCCACTGCCCCGCGACAACGGAGCACCGATCTCTGCCTGCACCCCATCCCCGCCTGCACCCTGGTTCTATGCAGGGACAGCAGGAGCTGCTGTGGCGCCTTAACCGGATCCCAGTTAACCAGATCCCGGCTCCTCTGGCAGGGGTCCCCATGTTCCCAAGAACAGCTAGGGTCCAGCTGTGCCCCCTGGCAGCACTGCCGTTCCCACAGGCAGAGGGTCCTGGAGTCAGGGCCACCCCAGTACCCAAACCGGCATGGGAATGATTGTGTCTGTCCCAGGGCCTGTAGTGGGTGGGGAATAGCTGTGGGACTGAGTCCCTCCATAGGGTCAAACCCTCCTCAGGGCTCTCCCTCCGTGACAGAGTCTTGGAACAGGGATTGCTTCCGCAGGCTCAGCCGGGCACATCGGGGACAGGTGGTGGAATTGTCATAGTAGCAGTCCCTGCAGGGGGAGGGGACAGTGTTGCATCACCCCATGCCACCCCCATGTCCCCACATTCCACCCTGGTGTGTCGGTACCTGTGGAACACGGCAGAGCAGTCGGCACAGACTGAGGTGTGGCTGTCGAAGGGGAAAAGCACGTCACCCTCCCGGCACAGCTCACACACGAATCCCTTGGCCTGGCAGCGCTGGGGGAGCAGGAGACAATGGTGACCCCACCAGCCCCACGGGCATCTCCCCCTGGCTCTACCCCATGGTTCTGCCCCACGGCATGGGCTCACCTCGCAGTCCAGCTTGATGTGCTTGGCAAAGAGCGTGTGGATCTCGGTGAGGGAGCAGCCCAGGCGCCCGGCCTCAATGTCAATCAGGTCCTGCAGCGAGTACATCTCGTCGTTCTCCACGAAGTGCTGCCGGTCCTGCAGCTGCGGGGGACAGATCACTGTGACTATCACTGCTGTGTGACTGTCACCGATGCACCTGGCCCTGGCCCCCTGTGGTTTCCAGCACCCCTGGGCCTGACCTGCAGCAGCAGCCGCGCCTCCATTGCCTCCTTGCAGGTGATGAAGTAGGGCTTCATCAGCAGGATGTCCTGGCGCAGCTTCTGCAGGGCAGGGGGTGGGATGGGATGGGATGGAAATGGGGACAGGAATGGAGATGGGTGGGGACAGGGATGGGACGAGGACAGAAAAAGGGTGGCAGCAGGAGCAAGATGGGGACAGGACAAGGATGAGATGGGGATGGTGTGGGAATGGGACACGATGGAAATGGGGATTGGGACAGGAGGATTGGAATGACAATGGGGTCAGGACAAGGATGAGATGGGGATGGTGTGGGAATGGGACACGATGGAAATGGGGATTGGGACAGGAGGATTGGAATGACAATGGGGACAGGAATGGGATGGGAATGGGGACAGGAATGGGAACAGGAATGAGGACAGGGATGGGATGGGAATGGGGACAGGAATGGCAAAGGAATGAGGACAGGGATGGGACAAGAATAGGACCAAGACAGGGAAAAGGGCAGTGGCAGGGGGAGGATGAGGATGGGGACAGGGTTGGGAATGCAATGGGGACAGGATGGAGAGAGGAGCATGACAAGGACAAGACCAGATTGGGTCAAGTTCATCCCTGTAGCAGTCTGGACATCCTCTGCCCCAAACCCCCACCTCACCTTGCTGTCCCTCTGTGGGACCCAGTGGGAGCCACCAGCCCCCACCTCCTGCTCACCCCACACTTCCTCCACAGTGTCACCCCCACCCCTGTGGGGTGTCCCCTGACCCTTAGGGTGCCCCCCTGGATCCAGCACTCACCCGGATCTCCACCAGCTCCTCCACGTAGTTGAACAGCAGTGGGTTGATCTCCCGCAGCTTCAGCACTGGCCGCGACACCATCAGTGCCAGGTACCTCATACTGCACCGTGACACCTGCCACCACCACCAGGGCACCGTCACCCCCGGCACCTGCCAGCCCTGCCGCCGCCACCACGCCAGGGACCCCCAACAGGGACCCATTGCAGGGACACAGCCCTGAGGACAAGCCCAACCCCAGTGATCTCTACCCAGGGACCCCCATAGTCAGGACATGTCCCCATGACGAGGGATGTGGCACCCCACGTGACCTTTACCAAGGGACATGGCCCTCAGGGATCTCCATGACAAGGCACACAGCCCCCCAAGTCACCTCTACCCACGAATGCAGCTCCCAGGAACTCCCAGAACACGACCAGGGACGTGGCCCCCCAAGTGACTACTACCCAGAGTTGTGGCCCCCAGGGATCCCCATGACCCCCTGGGGTGCCCCCACCCTGTGCCAGGGGTACCTTGCGGGGCTCGAAGTCCCAGTTGTGGATGGCACGGGCGGGCACCACAGCCAGGTCATTCCAGTGGCAGCTGGAGCAGTAGTAGAGGCCGGTGTAGTCGCACTGTCGGGCCTCGCTGGGCACCCCCCCTATGGTGGCATGGGGCTGGCACAGGGCTGGCACCAGCACTGCCCTGCTCCCTGCTTGCCCCACACCATGTGTGCCCCTGGGACACCCACCAGCACCCGGGGACATGGTAGGGCCGTAAGGTCACCTTCCCCAGCTCCCCATGGCTCCCAGCCCCACATAGCCCTCAGAGCCCCTACTTTCAGCTTTCCCCAGCCCCACACATCTCCCACCCCACAGCCCCTCAGCCCCAGGCAGCCCTGGCCCCCCTCTCCCCACAGAACCCCAAAGGGAGCCCAGACCCA